TTACAAAGTTTTTACAAAGTTTACAAAGTTTTTACAAAGTTTACAAATGGCTGGTGAAAAACACTTATGTTTGCAACAAATTACATGAAATACTAAATCCGTTGAGACATTTCGTTTGGCTGTGGGAGTGTGTGCAAGTGTGTTCCAGACCACTTGGGAACACTTTTGCACCAAAATGATAGTTGTTGACTTTTCCTGGTGAATTTAGGTCGAAACAAGGGGCAAAGGTGTTTTGGACCTTGATTCGATGACTGTGATGACTGACTGACTTGTACGACCCCCAGCCGTCAATTGCAGCAGCAGCATAAGTTAGTAAGTTAGTTAGAAACACAGTGCAATCACTGACTCACCCATGACCCATGTATTACATGTACATAGTACTACATAGCACACACACACTATTCTACACAAAGTCTCAAACAACATCAAATTAGCAAATCAATCGTGAATATTGACAAATTGAATATGTCTAGTTTTTTGGTTCAACCTGGCGGCTAGTAACTAGGCTAGTAGCCGTAGTAGTAGCCGGTTATTGCAAAAAAATGATGATCAGATCATAATTATAATCGTGATAATCAGGCTTTGATTTACCAACTCACCTAGTCTCGTGACTCGTGACCAGAGCGTGTCGGGAGTCAATTGAATTGCGCCGCATGGCATGGCAACAGCTAAGCTGTCCTGGTGCGTGAGCAGACTTGGAAGGAATGCCAGCTATGATGAGCTGCTCTTAGTACGTGTCAACGAAAACGGCGGCTTGGAGACCACCTTCTGTGGCAAGCTGTGCCCACCTGTATTGTCACAGGTGGATACGAGAGGACGCAGGAGTTGGTCTCGATTGCCCCCAGTCGACGCGAGTGTTTTCAGGTCACAAGAAGAATCTTGCCTTCAGATTTAGGCTTCCTTGTTCCCTTCCCGGTCCGTTCCGGGGACCTCTTTACGATGCAGTGCAGTGCTGTTCGTTGCGGGCACTGGGCAGCTAGTTACGGCTGTGGTTTGTTGAGTTTGTTTTCTGTTTTTGCAGTTTGTGGCAGGCAGGCAGGCAGGCAGGCAGGCAACGCAGGCAGCTAGTTTAACAAGTCTGTGACTCTGTGTCAAGGAACTTGGAGTGCTCACTGTTGACAACACTGGACTTAAAGATATTCAGGATGAATATGGGCCAATCGATTGGGACAAGGCCCCGTTCAGTTCAAGCCTACTTGCGCTTGACTTGACTGTGACTGTGACTGTACTACACACACACCACACACGCGGCGCTTACACTTACCTTCTTCGGTTCGATTCGGCCTAGCCTAGACTTTATCGCTGAGCTGTAGTACTGCCCTGCCTGCCTGCACTGTAGCTGTAGCGTGGGCAACCACTACTCCTACTACTACTACTACTACCACTACTACCACTACTACCACTACCACTACCACTACTACTACTACTACTACTCCTGCTACTCCTGCTGCTGCTGCTGCTGACTACTGACTCCTAGTACTGCTGCTGCAGGCGACTACTACACCCACCACCACCACCACCAGCCCTGGGCCCTGAGGTGTTCCTCCTAGTCAAGGCGGAAACAAGTGTTCATGGCCACGGCATTGGCGTTCACAGTGAGATTGTTCAGACTCAGACTGGTTCTGACCCTGACCCTGGCATTGGCATTGTCATCCGGCGCCCGCGCCAGTGCAGGGCGGCCGCTGACACTGCCACCGCTGAAACATCAGCAGTGGACACGATTCTGAATGACATAGTTGCGTCCGTGGAAGACAATGAAGTTGAACACAAGGTTAAAGCCTTGGTTGACAAATTGAGGGAGAGATTGAAGATAACCAATGGTTATGTCAGCAGGCCGCGGGGAGGTGTTCAATACAGCCCAGCCTGTATTTTGGAATCAGTTCTGCTGGCAGACAACCTGAAACCATTGGCAATGGATACTGACCTCTTGCCAGAGGTTGTCCACCAGTCAGGGCCTCATTGTGACTGACTTGACTTGAGCAGCGCCGGCGCAGTCACAGTATAAACTAAACAAACAACCAAAAAAAGACTAGTCAGTCAGTCAGTCTGACTGACAGTCGAAGTCGAGACGTCTTGGACTTGGACAATTTACTAAGTATAGTATAGTATAGTAGACAGTAGTATAGTCATGTCATAGTCTAGTAAGTAAGTAAGTACTAAGTACTAATTACTAAGTACTAAGTACTATACTATTACTATTACTACTATTTAGTATTAAAGTTAAGTTAAATAGTTAATTAATAGTTAGTTAGTTAGCAGTGAGCAGTTAGTTAGTTATAAGTTTTTATCTACATACATACTCATACTGTGACACTAGACACTAGACACTAACTGTGACTGTGACTGACTCTGACTCTGACTCCGACTAATGCCGCGGTTTCTTGCAAACCCGAGGAGCTTGTCAATTAGTCTACATGAAGATCTTGTAAAGCACCTCAAAGATCAGACTCTGCGCCTGCCGAAGAGGACAGCCTTGTATGATTTCAGATTGAATGTTGACTGGGCCTCTATGCTTTGGGCTCGGCAATTCGTCTTCAACAAGGACAATGTTGAGTGGCGCGCTCATCTACGGCTTGACTCAAGCCCCCAATTCAATCGCAACTACCTGGTTGGTGAAGTCGACTGGATTGACCTTTCCAACGTGTCATCGTCTTTACCCGAAACTGCTTTGCAGGATGTTGACATCAAAGTACGGCTCTTGCCGTTGCAAATTCTTGGGAAGGCCGCCACATCCACAGCTTTCAAAGCTCGTGCGACTCTTCGGATGTTGAGCCTGGAATCGGATGTTGAAGTTTCGCGCTTGAGGATCTATTCCTTGCTATCGGATTTCGGAGTGGAAGCTGGACTTTGGAACCTGCCTAATATCACTGGCTCGTCTGGCAGTGTTCCGGCTGAATCTGACAAGTGCTTTCCGGCATCCATGCCACTAAACGATATTGACCACATGCTTCATCATTGTATGCTGGATGGAGAAGAAGCGTTTGCGTTGGACAATGAGTTCTGGCAGGGCTTTAACAATCAGATTCAGGCTTTGTCAAAGTGCTTTTCCAAGCGTGACCATTGTGAGAAATATATTCAGACTCACATTGTTGGTTCAAACAAGGTGCCAGCGCAGTTTCAAAGAGCACTGCAGGGGATGTTTTCATCAACCTGCCCCACATTTTGCCAAACGCGGTGGCACTTTGGCTTCGATGTCATGCATTGGATATCCAAAAGGGAAGCTGTCATTGACTATCTTCATGTGCAAGCAGGGTCCGGAGAGGATATCACACCTGCAGAAGCAGCAGCTGTCAAGCTCCTTTCAGACAGTGTTGAAGAGAGGCTAAAATTTTGGGGAACATTTTGGCTGTACTTTGTGTTGCAAGCATGGGGTTTTGCAGTGCATTGCTTTATGCACAAGTGTTCATGCCCTCACCATCAGAACACTGGCGAGAAGCTGAAGGAGCCTTGC